AGGCAAACTGCAGGGACTGGGTCTATTTACTTACTTATTATTTCACTTACTTTTTGACACCCAGAAGCTCTTAATTTTTATACAATCCCAGACCATGTGCAGGTAGGTCCCTGTCTTAGATGAACATTTCCAGCAGGTGCCTGTCTGTCTGAGACAGACAGGCACTCTGTGTAACTTACTAGGGGTCCAGTGGTATGGGTGCACGGTTCTAAATTGTGTTAATTTCAGTGAAACATCCTTGGAGACTGTATGGGCTCTGCGCCAGACCTCAACCCACTCTTCTTCAGTTATGTCGCACCCTAAATCTGTACTCCACAGTCTCCTTGTTCCCTTAAAGTTCGATGTTATCTTGTTAATAAGTTCTTTATAGATTCCAGGTGTGTTTATTTTAGATCGATCTCGTTCTAGTAAGCATTTGTCCCAATGTGTTGCCGACGGGTTCTTTTTACTATTATTCCTGAGGGATACGACAGCACTTCTTAATTGGAAATATTTCCACCAAGGTAATTTGACAGGAGACATCGCTGCTTTCAGATCATTATTTGATTTGAATCCAACCTCTGTGTATAAATCAGCCACTTTAGAAACGCCACTTCTATGCAACTCCTTCCATTGGATCGGCTTCTTACCTATAGTTAAAAAAGGATTATCACAAATGGGTACCCATGGAGACTGTAATACAGCTTGCCTGGTAATTTTATGAATCTTCCTCCAGATGTGGTAAATGAAACTCAGACAAGGGTGTTGTTCTACTACACCTTGCTGTTTAATATGTATAGCGTCTTTCAACTGAGCGGGTAGGATTAAGTGCTGCTCGATATTAGCCCAGGATGGCTCGGGTAAGGGAGATCTAACTGTCAAAATCGTGCCTTGTGTCCACTCCATAAAAAATGATGTATGTGTTTATTAACTTGTTTGTCTATATTATTAGGTATTTGGATTGGCAGCATGTTTAGTAAATAAAATAGTTTGGGGAAGACCATCATTTTTATGGAGGATATTTTACCCCAAAGGGAAAGGTTCAGATTAAATTGTTTCTACCTACGTGTAATCATTGGGGCATGTTTGCTGACTGGATGAGATCTCTTCAGTCACTCCACATTCCTAAAATTATAATCATCATGATGGAATCACATTTATTTACACACCCTGTCTCTCTTCTACTTAACCTGTTCCACCTGTTCCATATGTGCTAAGTTAAATCCTGGTTGTATATATTGCTAAGTTAAATCCTGGTTGTTTATGTGCTAAGTTAAATCCTGGTTGTATATATTGCTAAGTTAAATCCTGGTTGTTTATGTGCTAAGTTAAATCCTGGTTGTATATATTGCTAAGTTAAATCCTGGTTGTTTATGTGCTAAGTTAAATCCTGGTTGTATATATTGCTAAGTTAAATCCTGGTTGTATATATTGCTAAGTTAAATCCTGGTTGTTTATGTGCTAAGTTAAATCCTGGTTGTTTATGTGCTAAGTTAAATCCTGGTTGTATATATTGCTAAGTTAAATCCTGGTTGTATATATTGCTAAGTTAAATCCTGGTTGTTTATGTGCTAAGTTAAATCCTGGTTGTATATGTGCTAAGTTAAATCCTGGTTGTATATGTGCTAAGTTAAATTCTGGTTGTATATATTGCTAAGTTAAATCCTGGTTGTATATGTGCTAAGTTAAATTCTGGTTGTATATATTGCTAAGTTAAATCCTGGTTGTATATATTCCCATTCTTAGTTTTGATATTTTTAGTGCTTATTTACTTTGTATTTAATATTATATTGTGTTTAGATTTGCTAATATTGTGTGTTTGGACAACCTGCTGCTGTAACGCCACAATTTCCCAGTTTGGGATCAATAAAGTAATTCTATTCTATTCTAAGAGACCAAAAAAATAGAGATAGAATATGTATATTATTTGACTTAAACTTCCTCGGTAAGTAGGAATAAAACATAAAATAAATGCTGCTCCTTCATTGCTGGGTGTTTAGTTAAGTTTGCCAGATTAATTTGAAGGCTGGTAGTATATGAAAGTGATGTCCAAAACTCATTTAAGTTGCCCAGAAGGGGCCGAATAAAAATAGTGACTGCAAAAAACTAAATGAAAAAAATCACATACAGAATAATAATCTCCCCATCTTTTGATGCTTTTACAATACAGTGCCAATGAATATACCGTACAAAATTACTAACAAATGCTATTTGCAGCTCAATTGCAATTCGACCTAGTTCTGATTTGCATCTCAGTATTTGTCTGCCTTAATGCCACATTTTTCATATCTGTGCATCTGTCAGTCAGCAGAGGCAGCTTTTCTGGTCCGTCAATTTGTTATCCCCCCCTCCTTCCCATTTCAGTGTGTTTAAAATGGAAGATCTATTTATACAGCAGGTCTGTGGGAGCCTGTTTCCTATAGTTGCTTTGTCAGAGAGCTGGTGTGTCTGTGGGAGCAGGCTGGAGGGGCTTTAGGCCCTTCATCCCCCCTGGTGAGGCTCCATCCCTGCAGGGCTTAGCCACAGACTCACGCCCATGCAGGCATCTCCACAAGGCTGGATGGGCATGGGATAAATTGCTCTCCGTACAGCAAAATAATGAGCTAACAGACAAACAAATAGCCTTAAAAGATTTTCACACTGTGGTATGCACACCAAACGAAAAATCTGTCACAGTAAAAAAAACAACACCCACAAACACAAACTCATAACCGGTCCTGATGGATGAACTTGTATTGTGGCGTGACATTTGACAATCCGGGCTTGGTCGATACCCAAGAAGAGTTTTGTTTGAGCACTTAACAAACTTGTTATTCAGAATATGACACACGTCTTAATAGCTGGACAGCTAACTAAAAGTTGTGTGACTTCTTATTCACATTATGGTCAGTGTTTTTTATTTTCTTATTAAACTGAAAAATCTGACAACTCTCTGACTTTCAATGAAAGTCGTGGAAGTTCCTCTAGTCAGGGAATATGAATGAAATAATTCTGCTCTATTACGTGACACACATGCACATTCACACATGAATACACAGTGGTGTTTTAGTCAAGACCACTTCAACCAAGAACCAGTTATGATCAAGAACCATGGCGGGTTGAGGCCAAGACAAGATCAAGTCTTTAAGGTATTGAGGCCAATTAAGACCAGCACACTGCAGGACATATTCAGAATGAAAAAGTCATAGGCCCACCTCAAAATGGGCTACAAAACACTTAGGCCTGCAAAAAAAAAGTCATGTAGGAAGAGTTCAGCATAAAGTAAAAAAAACAAAAAAAACTAATTGATTGGATTTGGCACAGGACATTTTACCGTCAATTACAGTATTTATGATGGAAACAAGGAAAAATAATCTAATTTTGGTTATCCATAAGTTCCTGGTCCTGATTGGGTTTGAAAATAAACACGGGATAAAAATGAATACAAACTGTTCAGAGATCGAGAGCTTCAAATATGCGTCTTGACATTGAACAACATAAGACTAACACAGAGTCCCTATCAATTCACATCCATATCTCAAACACTGCTTGTCGGGGCCTGATCTCCCAAACACAGTGTGCTCAACTGAGTTAACTCCTAAAAGCCGACTATTGACAAGTATAGTAGAATTGCACAGAATGAGTGCCCCTGTGTATGGAGCCTGAGCATCACATACACAGAACTTTCAATTTAGTGAACAATGAATAAACAACTGCTGACCTGAAAATGCATTTCATATTCCTCTTATCTACTCCCAACCCTCTGTGGAAAGCTCTGTGCCTCTTCTGCTCTTTCAATCCCTTGTGTTTTGTATGCATCACCCCCCCCCCCCTTTACAGGGCCAGTCTGTTTTGTAATCTTTGTCATTTGGGACCTACTATTGACAACTTTGTCATTTCACTGACCTGTGTAGTTAGCTACATGAAATACTAAAAATCATTGATCTCATAAATACTGTACACTGTGTGTGTGTGTGTGTGTGTGTGTAAAAGAGAGAGAGTGTGGTATGTGTGTGTGACACTGAGTGCATGTTTAGGCTTTACATTTGACCCAGCCATCAGCATTGACACAACTGTCAGCTGGTACCAACCAAATATAAGTTACATAACCTGCCATGTGTGTGGGCTCACAACAGTCTTGTCAGATGATGTTATGTGACCAGTATTGACTGCAAACCAGAAAACAACTCTGTGGTTTAATACATGCTTAGCGCTTGACTGACTGAATAACAGCACACAATTCCTCACTGACCTGATTTTTCTTATCTTATAGTGATAACAAAATGGGATTGCAGAGATACTTGGCTGCCTGTCGTGAACCAAAAGAAACTTGTGACCTGAGATGAGACCATAATGTCTGGAAAAACAGGCCTCAGATCTTCTATTTATACATCTTGTTACATTGAAGTAATCTAATTTTGATCTTTAAGTGGCTATTAGCTATACAAAATAAGTTGTAAAAATGTACTCAAACATTACACTAAATTGTCATATTAATTCAAGACAGTGGATTTGACTGGAAGTCAAGGGAAAGAGCACATGAGGCCATCTAAGAGATGAGCCAATAAAATGCAAAGAAAATGTTTATGACCTCCTGCCTGGATGTGAAAAAGTTAACTCTCTGACAGAATTGGTATGTTTCTGTGGTCTGCACACTCTCTGTATAAGGGCGTCCTGACCTAGTGTTTAGTTTGTTCACCTCATGTACAGAGGTTGAAGTCTCCAAGGAGGGCCGCCCGTGTTCAAATCCAACCAGTGGTTCCTTTTCCGCATGTCACTCTCTCTCTCTCTCCCAGATTTACTACTCTAACCACTGTCCTGCAATAAAGTCATAAAAGCCCATTAAAAACATTTAATATTTTTTCATTTTACATACTTTGTATAGCTTATGAGGCGACGCCACCCTGCCCTCCGGTGAACACTTTATGCAATGTGTAGCCACTGCCCTGCTCAAGAATTAACTCAGAGCTCCATCTAGTGTTGCAATTGTGAAATGCAAGAAACCTCAAATACCACAGATTTCTCCAAAGGAAGAAAGTCTATGTAACATAAAGATAATATTTTATTAACATTTAAGCTACATTCACATCCATGTAAATATTTGTACATAAAATATTCATAGAAACATCAACACATTATTTTGCATTATTTCTTATATGCTTATCTCCTTGTAGGTAAAGATACAGTAATACCATTAAATAATGATTATTTTCCAAGAAAAAAAAAAAAATCTCCTTCCTTACAGAATCTTAACCTGCCCATGATCGCTCACTTCTTTCTTGGTCATCTTATCTTTATAGAAAATCTCCAATAAACCAAATTCCAATTCATCCACTTTGCCTCAGTGAGATTAAAGTCCTACGTCTGTGTGTAGCGAATAATCTCACTCAGGTCATAGCCAGTCACTGCAAAGGCATAACCGTCACCGTCACAGAACTTGGCCCCGCATATTTGTGTGTCTGTCACACATTCATTGTGCAAATGTGCAACCTATAGGAAAATGAGAACAAACAGTCAGTCAATAAGATACTATAAATAATCACAGTTAAGTCCTCACTTGATTTTGGATTTAATAAAAAGCTTTGTATTCTCTTTTATGTCCACGTACCTCCACACTGTTGGTCTCTGGGGTTAGTGTCAGATGCCAAACCCTGACTAGAGAGTCCTCAGCTGCAGAGAGGAGCTGAAGTACAAAAGCACATTATACAATTTCTTTTTTAAGCCATCGTGGAAATAATGCATTTGTTCTTATCAATTTGTTTTATAAATCTTACCAGCCCGGAAAAAGGAGCAATGTCCAGTGAATATATCCAGCGAGCGTGGGCAGTGATTTCAGCATGAAGAATTCCTGTCACAGCCTCATAAATTCGGATCTGGCCTGTGCCATAACCTGCCACCACTGTACCTTTCCACAGCTTGACAGATGAGCAGGTCATGCTTTTAATTGTGAGGAGGATGGAGGATCATTGTCATTGCGGAAAAAGACAGATAATGGACATTGGATTAGATCAAGGAGGTGAAATAAAGAAGAAACACAGAGCAGTGGAAAGAAACATGACGTAGAGTAGATAAATACACTTATGTATTAAGATAGGATAGAGATAAAGGAAAGTATTGTTATAAAAGGAGATTAGGGTGAATGATGATGGATTATAGTATTAGTTTGCTTCTATTTAACTACTGTTTTAATCTCAAGTTTACTTTGTAAACCCCAAAAAGACATTATTATGGTATAACTTCTTACTCAAAACCAGCGATCTTGTTTAGTATCTGAAACTCCTCCCCAGACTTCCACACATACAGATTCCCCCCATCATCTGCACTGACCAGATCAGCTATGCACTCCTGAGGGTAGGGAGACAGCAACAGAGAGGAAGGGATTATACAAATCATAGAATGGTTGTTTTTCCTAGTATTATTACATAAGCAAGAACTCACTCAGGTTGGCTTCAATCGTGGACAAATTGGATATCCTGTATCAACACACAGACAGTGAACACCCTGAACAGATACTAGTCATACCTGGCTGCCTGAACACTCAGAGGCAAGATCAGTTATGGACTCATTATGTTCCTCCAGGACCTCGGACAGGGTGATATTACTGCCTTTACTTGGGACATCAAAAACAAGAATTGAACCAGAAGAAACACCTGGAGAGAAATAAAAAGTATAGATGAAGTGCCGTTTGTATTGAAAACATGCAAACAAACATTTGTTGCTCTACTTACCCACACATATATAATTCTGCCCCACTGCTGATATCCCTCGACCAAATATGGCCTGAGCTGGAACACAAAAAAAGTTCTGTGAATGTACTCTGAATGTGTGTGAAAGTATTTTTTCTCAGGTCATGAATGCCTCGATACATATAGCAGAAACAAAAATCAAGTCGTCCCACTTGTGTTTATAATTATGTTTGTGTTACGATGATGGATCTGCTGCATTACATTTCTAGGAACATCAGAATCCCTGTGTTGTATTTTTTTGTATCATGTCAAACTGAATCATCTTAATGTGCATCACATTTATTATTTAATCATTTCTTCATGTTCATGTCTCTGTCTAAGTTTTAAATGCCTACATATATCCATAGCGTTGTGTAAATTTACCTGTAGGTGTTTCCGGAGTATCCAGTGCATGCCAGTACACCATGATGGAACCATCAGATTCATACATCTATAACAAAGATTTTCATTTAAAGTGAAAGGATGAAAAACACATGCACATGTATTTCTATATCCACTGACGTTCATATCTTACCAAAAATAAAGTAAACTTCAGTCTTGAATATATACAGCACATCATAATAAAGAGTCATTTAAAGCAAAGACTTAGCAGAATTTGCAGTAGCCTACTTCTTTCAAATGTGGCAACAGCCAATTGCTGCGGACACACAAAAACACACCTGGATGCCTTTTTGGGAGGTCACCACCAGTAGGTCACGAGAAGGCAGGACACAAAATGCAGCCTGTAACAACAAAAAACAGGAACTTGTACTTGCATTGTCCAGGCAAATGAAAGAAAATGATGCAAGACGAAAAGAAACACAATGGAAAAACATAAAAATGTAGTTGTCCATGTTTGCTAAACTTTCTTAACTTTTTTGTGCAGTTGTGTATTTGATAGTGTCATAAACCACTGCATGAGCATAACATGTCATAGTACATTATGCACCATGATGATGAGGAACTTAGTGGAGTCCACGACACCTTTTATTGTTTTCGTTTTACTTGAATTAAAAACTTAGTATGGCATTGTGGCCTGACCTGCATGATGAGCGATGTGCTTGTGGCGACGTTGGGCTCTTTGGACTGCAGCTGACGATGGGAATAGTTGAGGCCGTCCCAAGAGGCGCTGACCATGTTCACGACGTTGGCATGGACCACGGTGAAGTATGTGAGGTGCCGCGGGGCGATGCGCTGCACGCTCAGGTTGTTGTACAGCGACGAGGCGCTGTTCTTGATCTGGATGCTCTTCTCTTTGTGATACATCTCTTTACAGCGTAGTCTGTTCAAATGACGGTGTCTGATATGGTAAAGGTCTAGGAAAAAGCCAGTAAAATGCACTCTGGTTATGTTACGGTGAAAAGTTAAGTTAGAAATGGAAATAAAACACATAAATGGACGTAGAAACGCTAAGACTGTTGGCAATGGTAACCCTAAACATTAGCTGTAGTTAACTCAGTTGAGCAGCACAGCTAGGTTTGTTAAAAAGACAACTACAACGAAGGTTAGGACAGAGTCACTGCTGTCTGACAAAATAACTTAATTGGCTTAGCCTCCATCGGCGCTGTCTTTATCTTTCACTACATGTAAAGTAAACGTTAAGGAAACACATTTAGCTCTTGTTAGCAACAGGATTACCTTCGCGTCCTCCGCAGCCATAGAGACAACGCCGCCTCTACGTAAAACGTCATCACTGCGTGCTCTGTTGCTGAGCAACCGAAGAGCAAAGGATACAAATGAGGATGTGAGGTAAGGTATTAAAACAATTATCCACGAAAATAGCGAATATAAGTCGCTGTTACTGAATAATAATGACATGTCTTGTAATTTTTTACAGCGGTTTATCATCTCAAAATAACTAATACCCGTAACACTTGTTTTACATGAATCTCATTATAGATCATTGTCTGCATACGATCGGGAAACGGCTTTCTTCCTGTCTTTTTGTAAACGTGTTATGTTAATTATAAACTTATAGCTTACTGTTTATATTCCCTGTGGATTTTAGCTAACTAACTGTTTCTTAGAATTTAATAATTTGACACAAACTCGGTAATGGAAAAGCTAATAGTTTATATCAAGGTCTCCAAAGAGATCCAAAAGTGCAATTCTGGTCACATCCGCTAGAGTGTGCTAGTGTTACCATATGATACAGGCCAACCTATAACAGGGACTGGTGTAGTTCCTTGAAAATTGTATTAAATGCTACATTAAAATATCTGTTTCTTTCGTATTTCAAACAAGCTTCTTAGCCAACATGCCCCGCTCAGTCAAGTCCCTAGTTGACAAGCGTGGACTTAGGTCATCTTCCCAAGTGACCACGCCTCCAATAGAGGACCTGGAAGTGGAAGATGTTATACCAGGTCGCTTAACTAAGGCCCAATGGACAGACCTGTTGATCCAGGAGGATTCAGATGAGATAGTCGGGGAAATAATGGAGGAACTGTTCAGCAAAGTCATGGAAGGCTGTTTCAAAGTGCACATTAAAAAACAGGTAAATCTGAAAAGTTATACACTTTTGTTTGTATCACTAAAAGGAGATATGATACTTGTGACAATCATGGAGGGATCGTTCAAGTTATTAATCCGGTTTTAATTGATTTTAGCCACACATGTTGTTTAAATACCAGTCATTTTGCTTTCCCCTAAGCTGGCACCTTTTTCCGCATTCTGGGCCAAGAGCTACCTCACAGAGATTGTGGAGCAGCAAATGATGTGCTTAGATGACGAAGAACAAGAGGAAGCAGCTAAAACAGAAGACTCAGAGCCGACACCAACTATTCTAGATTCCTGGGCTCAAGGATGTGTGCCTGTAATAAAGGTTATTACACCTCAACCTCACTCTATCATGCAACAGGTGCTATTGAAATTTCTGTACTGTAGATTTACTCTTCAAATTTCGGACAAAAGATTACTTGGATCCATTTTTAAAATATATATCTCTGTTTCTTTCAGGTGGCTGATATTGGTAATGTCTCACAAATAGAGCCAAGCCTAAACCAACAATGTAAAACAACAGTCCAAAAAAGCAGTTCCCCAAAGCAATCTAAGGATCAAACAAGTCCTGAGAGGCCTCTCACTGACAAGCGCTATACAGTGCTTACTCCTTGCCCACCACCCAAAATGAATAGGAAAAAATTGCAGCCGGTAAATCTACATCCAAAGCCAGTTCAAAGCAAACTACTGCCACCCCTGTCCTGTTCAGTAGAGAAAAACAACAGGGTGCTAGCCAATAAAAATAGGACGCATTCCATATCTAGCCCTATAACTGGCTCTACTTATCAACTAAAGGACAGAAAACCCATACCCAAGCTTGACCCCTCCTGCTTGCCTCGACATTGCATCTTTCCTCAGTACGAGATTGTGGATAAAAACTACTCACAGTCCATCTCCAAGAAACCAAGTGGACAATCAAAACAGGAACCATGGACTAACAAGCAGCAAAGTGAGCGGACAGAAATCTCACTGAAGCCGCTAACCAGCTCCAAGGATAAGCCAGCAAAGTTTCAGAGAAGTCAGGCAGATATCTGGCTGAAAAAGTTGTCAACTTCTAAACATAGAAAGGAAGGAGTAGGTTCCTCTGGGCCTTTGCAGTTGGACACAATGGATTTAGCCAAAGGTGTTTCTTTCCATGAATCTCAGACAGTTGACATTAACCCTGCCAAACGTAACCCTTCTGCCCACTCTACCGATCTGAGTCTGATACGAAGTGATGCAGCTGTGCCACGCTGTTCAATTGATCAGGTTATCAAAGGTCCATCACCTCAGGTCATTCATTGTTTCAGTTCAAGAACAGCAACAACTCTTAATAAAATGTGATCATACGTGTCCATAGCTGTTTTTAGAGCAGGTTGATACGTTTTTGAAATAAAAATATCCTAATACAAAACCATATGATCAGCTGTGGGCTTTGTTGTTAAATATTATGATTCAATCTAATCTACCTAATTCTACCTGTTAACTACTGTGCATTTATAATACCAAAAGTAGAATAATGTACATTTAGTTTTGAATACAGTGTTGGCATTTTTTGTTCATTAATATATTGTTATAGTATTTAAAGAACGCAACTGTATTTGTTATCTAGAGCATCATCTGGTCTTTTATTCTGAGTCTATTTCTAGTTTCACATCCAACTTTTCATAAGCAATAAACTATATTACTACAGTGAGACTATGTTTTCATTGCTCATGAACTACCTGAAACTCAAAAAATTCAATCATTTTGGGTTTTATTTACATGTGATATACATGTGCGTGCTCTTACATGTAGCCTATGTAAATGTATTTTATATATTTTAATAATTCATTTACAAATATACACAACTGAACACCTAGCTCAGACTAATAGTCCAACACTTATCTGCAATAAATCCTGAATAATATTCAGTTTCTACGGCTTTAAAGAGCTGTTGATCAAACAGGATTATCAGTTTGTGGTGCTGGATGTGTACTGTGTTAAAGGGAGAAGTGCTTCTCTTATATTGCTGAGCCCATTAGCTTAATAAAAGAATGTTTCATAAAATTCACGTCATCAGCACAGACTGGTTGCTCCTAAATAGTAAAGTTGAACTAAAATTCAGTTTCTATGCTCCTTATATCTGGAACAAACTCCCAGAAAACTGCAGGTCTGCTGAAACTCTCAGCTCTTTTAAATCGAGGTTGAAGACACACCTGTTTACAGCTGCCTTCCATTAAACAATTTTAATAAGATTTTAAATTTTAACTCTGTACTGTAACTTTTTAACTCTTATATTTTTACTTTATTTATTTCAATTAATTTCATTTGAATTATTTTTATTTGAACATATGTTCAGATTTAATAATTCCAGTGATTATTATTTTTTTGTTGTTGTTCTATTTTAATGTTTATTTTCTTTCCTCTGTCATGATGCTTTTGATGTCTTGTGGGAAGCACTTTGAATTGCCTTGTTGTTGAAATGTGCCATATAAATAAACTTGCCTTGCCTTGCCTAAAATAGTAAACTAAAACTAAAACTAAAACTATAACCTTCATTGAGGTGGTAGTTGCAAGGTTTGTTTATTGGACTGCATGATTTGGAGCCAGATGTATGCACACCTGACACAGTAAGTGTAACAACTTGAAAATAACAAACAATAAAAACAAGTTACTTGTTTTATTTTCACCTTAAATTGATCTTGACAAAAGTAATATCACTTTATGTACATTTTTTCATCCTGGAAAACATACAAAAAATACGTATTTGAATACCCATGTAAGCTGTACACAAGCTGTAAACTGTGTCAAGAAGCACAATGCTGCTCTCCACAGACTATAATTTGCTGCCTATATATTTTTGGGAACAGGATAGTTGAATGAAGACATTTTATGAATGCTCTGCCAATAGGTTGGAACTGCATTTTAAAAAGAAAATACAGATTTGAAAGAGATAAGAGGGAAGAGAAACCAGGATCTCATCTTTCCCTGAATAATTGCTGTCTTTCATTTCTGTATTAAACGTCTACACAACATGAAGAGGTCAAAATGCTCCTGCAACACTTGTAGTAAGAAGATCATTGAACATAGGTCTACTATACAACATGAAGAAAAGTTTTCAAACTCCCACACTGAGAGAGACAGAGAAATCCCTGTTAATCTCCCATCATCCCACACTGTGTTGTATTCAATTATTTCACGCTAAAGGGACATTTAGAGCTCCATCACTATAATTTTCCTTTAACCTCAATGTAGTCAGACTTTGTTTGCTGTCTGTCTCTTTCATTTTTCAGATAAGTTATTTAAACTGTGAACCTTAACAAATGTGTTAACCGTGCTTGTTTCTACTTTCTAACTTCACGCATATTTCGGGTTTCCCTGTTGCTGGGCTCAAGCGTCTGCTCGTGCAACCTATCTTGATGAGGCCCACGTGACGCAGGAAGACTAGCGAGCCAATCAGCATTCACTTCGCGGCTGCTACACCAACCGGGGAAATATTTTGCATGGTAGCACGTTATGTTGACCCTTTGCACATGTGAGAGCGCAATGAAGGGAAAGCAGTGTTGAACAATTTTCTTTAAAAAAAGGTCGGAATTATCGTCTCATTGAAAGCAGACCAGACATGGAAAAGAAACAGTCATTTATTAACGACCCAGCAGAGGTAAGACTCATACAACACTATTTTTCACAACTAATACCCAATGCAGATGTAGGCTACTACTGCTACACGTTTGTTGCTTGATGGCTTTGCCTACATTTAAACAACAAGAGGGATTAATTAGACACATTTTCTTTTTTTTTTAAATCATGATGTTGTCACCCTAATTCTGGTCTCGTTGTAGTAATTCCAAACGTGTTTAAGGATTACACAACGCTGCAGCTACTTCAACTATCTTTGTTGTTGTTGCGCAGATGATTCAGTCAGACTCCTCCAATGAGGAGGAGAAAAACGAGGCTCCCGTTAAAGCCAAAAGGAGCAAACCTATGGAGCCTGAAGGCGAGGAGGTGGTCTATCATCCGGTGAAGATGTCACGAAGTGATCTGTACAGACCTCCTACAGCAGAGGAGCTCAACCAGCTGAAAGAAACGGAGAGCCTGTTTCACTGCAGTCTGCTCAAGATGCAGGTGAGCGACATCTGAACCGAGCATGACAGGAAGGAGTAGACATGACACACAATCGCAACCCCTTTGTTAATGTCTACAATCTGTCACCAATATCAGATGGAAGAGCTGCTGAAAGAGGTCTCCCTGAGTGAACGCAGGAAACGGCAAGTAGACTCCTTCGTCCAGACCGTCACTGAGATGCTTCAGACCGTGCCAAAGTCAGCAGATGTGGAGGTATGTAGCACTTAAAACTGTACGGAAACCTTTTGTGATCACCTTTTAGAGGCTCTGTTCCGTTCTTTCAGCTCTCCACAAACAAACACACACACACACACACACCTGTAACTCAATCTCTCTTATGTGCTCAGGTTGATGACCTTTCATGGCTGTCTGATGCAGTTAAGGTCCCGTTCCTCCTGGTGCCCAAAACATCAAAGGGAAAGTTCCACATGGTACCTCCTGCTTCTATCGATCTGATTGGCAGCTACCCTCTAGGCACCTGCACCAAACCTCGCGTTGTGGTGGACCTAGGCTGTTACGATCCCAGCTGTAAGTGACCTGTCCCTTTTTGATTTTCACCAATTAAAGCCTTGAGAGCAATTTCCTGTGGTCTCATAATATTTTAATGCTTTTTAACGCAACATTACAAAACCGAATTTAGATAATAAGAGACATGGATTTTTTTCGTCATGTCTTCATTATTAGGAGGTCCTGCATCCCAAAGACATCATTAACCAGAGATATCCCCGGAAAAGAGCTCTCTACCTTGCAGGTCTGGCCCCAGCACCTCATGTCTTCCTCTGACATTGGGAGCATGCGTTATTCATGTCTCCATGGTAATCGACTGCGTCCAGTTCTGCTGCTGACCACTCCAGGTTTGTGGCATTTTATTTACAGCGTATTTCAGGAAAAACTAACATCTTCGACTAATACTGGGTTAAGTGTTTGTTACATGGGTTTTCCAGCAAATCATTTTCTTTGCAAGTGCATGTTTAGCTGTCTTTTTTTTTTTTTTGGTTGTTAGAATTGTTTTGTTGTCCCATCTTTTTTAGATAAAGACACCACCAGCTTCAGTGTACGTGTTCATGCCCTTCCTCCTCCGGGGTTCTTCAAGCCCAGTCGTTTCCATCCTCAGAGGAATAATATCCGGACAGAGTGGTACACCGGATTGAAGACCATCCTTTCTGGTATTATTCATTTTCCTCAACTTTTTCAGCAACAGTTTAAATGAACTATCACTATCAGGAGGATCAATTTCTTTCTTAATTGTTGGTTGCAGATAGCAGCGAACCTCCCACGCCACATTACAACAGCTCTGTTCTGGGAGATTTACTTCCAAGGGCCCACCTTCAATTCCTCTCGGCTATCAGCTCCCAGTGCTCAGCTTTTGCTGAAGGGGTGGCTTTACTCAAAGTGTGGCTTCGTCAAAGAGAGCTCGACCAGGTTGGTTGGAGGGTTACATTTACTCTTTTACTTTTGGCATATAGCTTGCTTCCTTCTTTTTACATTGGATTCATTTCTCAGTCTGCTGACACTGTTCATCTTCACCTACCTTTGTGTTGCTCCATGTCTTTTAGGGCACTGGTGGTTTGAATGGCTTCCTGGCTTCAATGCTGTTAAGTTATCTGCTAACCACTCACAGAATCAGTAACAGCATGACAGCCTACCAGCTGCTTAGAAACAGCTTGAACTTTCTGGGTGAGAACATTTGAACTACATTAAAATATCTATATGTGTATTTAATTGATATTGTGGAGTTATGCACGACTTATTAATGTTTTAAAAAGCTGACAACTCAAACTCTTTTTTTCTTCTAATTTTTAGCATCAACAGACCTGACAGAGAATGGAATCAGTCTAGCAAAAGATCCTGACTCCACTGCTGTAAGTGGTCTGGCTCACATTTGAAATGATGAATCTGTGCATGTACCTTCTAAATTAATTTTCATAGTCCAATCTGTCTTTTTAATTTTTTTTCTTATTCTTGCAGCCGTCTCTGTCAGAGTTCCACCGTGCTTTCCAGGTCGTGTTTGTTGACCCTTCCGGGCATCTCAACCTGTGTGCTGACATGACCGCTTGTACCTACAAACAGGTAAATACTCTGAGTGTTTTGCCGAAATCATTTTGTACCCCTGAGATTTAAAAAACAGGTTTCAACAATTTTCCTACCGCTCCTCAGCTGCAACATGAAGCATCAGTGTCGATGCAGTTCTGGGACAACCCAACAGTGGATGGGTTCCACAGCCTCCTCATGACCCCGAAACCCATGATAAGGACAAGTGACCATGTGTTCCAGTAAGGCTCTATTTATTAGCTTTTACACTCTGTTCAACCTGACATCCTCATCCTGTCAGTACTTGTAATGTTTTCTTCTCTCTCTCTCTCTCTCTCAGGTTATGTGAGCTGGTGAAGCTCCAGTCCAGCTGTAAGAAACTGAATCTCCTCAGTGAGCTGATGGACCACAGTGGAAACTATGTCCACACCGCACTCCCTTTCATTCTGTCACTGCTTCAGCGAGGACTGGGCCAAAGGATTCAGCTCCTCACCCACTCCCTGTCTCCTGATCCAGAGGTGTGAAAGA